CTCAAATTTGGAATCAATTTCATCTTTCTTATATTTTTTGCCACCATAACCACATAGGACTGCAACATAAACCGCAGTTTGATAAAACAAGGTCAAAAGAGCAATTATAGGCACCAATAAGAAAGTAACATAATATAAAACAGATCGGAATAAAACAAAACAGCCTAAGGTTGGCTTCTTATTCGGTAAAAGGATAACCAGCATGATAATAATTATGAAGGCAACTGGTAATGATAAATAAAATAGAATTCGATGGACGTAAAAAAACTGATTAAAGATATTAGGAAAAACTTCGTTATCGCTAACTGGTAGAGGAAAATACATCACAGTAAATGCAAGTGGACTGGCAACAATAATCATAATAAATAATGATATCGGAAAGGCAACTAAAATTATAAAGCTAACATTAGCAAATGTTTTACCTTGGCAATCGAAATAGCTTTCATTAAGTCTACCCTTATTAATAAATCCTACCGACATGATATATAGGAAGGCATAGATTGTCTGTAAGCCTACAGTAATAAATTTTAATATAAAGAAATAGCTATTGCTTACTGTTAAAGAGAGCACAGTACATGTTTTAGTAGTTATAAAATCAGATGTTGATGATAGAAGGCCTTGATTGATGGCGCATTGGAGGCAATTAATTCCTAATGGCTTTAATTCTAAATGGATAAATATAATAGCCATGCATGCTTGTGGAATACCTTCCAATAAAATAGGTTGTATTTTTGATATTAAAACTGCTCGATTAAACGATTTAAATTGGAGAAAATGTGGACGTAATAATTGAAGAAAAATCATTTGTAATAACATAAAATCCATATAGATTGAAATAATGAAGAAGGTAATAAAGACGCCGTAAGCAAGAGCGAAAGAAGAAGCACTCTCGACCAAGTCATAAGTACCACAGCAAGCATTCCTATCATTCGGGCAATGATCAAATCGCAATACTGTTTCTCCATCGTAGGTAAGATTTTGTAGAAATCGCATAACTTGAGTCGATGAGATCAGAATCGTTATATCAGATATATTATCCGCGATAATAGATATAAAATGAAAACTACTCAACCCTATCGTTAGCCATGCCCATTTATTGGCTTTAGTAGCTGTTTCATCACCATCATTACTATTGCAATCCTCAGCCATTCTCTCAATAAAGACAAATTGGGTTGATATTAGAACTAGAAAGAATGCTATTATAGCGTTGTTATACTTTCTTTCGAGACAAGAACTGATTGGAAATGATCAATCTGAAAGATGAATCATCCTACTTGAAAGTTGTATACTTTTATAATTGCTGACGTGATATATTTAATTTCTGATGATTAATTATCATCTAATTATCATAAAATAAAATTATCATTGTTGTTGACTACCCACTTACTAAACGCGTCTATTTGACTGATGCCTTAATTCATTGATAAACAAAAATATTCAGAGCAATAATACTATATATTATTGGTTCGTTTGTAGCATTCCTACTGAGTAATATGCAAATAAGTGGTCTAAAATTAATTTGTTCCAAAATTAACGACCACATATATCAACTGCAGGTATAGTGTCTTTTAATCAATAAATATCGTGCTTAAAATTTAGGGGCAGAAAGCTGATTCCATGTTTATTTTATCTATCGGCTCAAGTAAATTTTCGAGACAAATAAGGTAATAAAATAAAATTGGGAGCAGCTAAATCGTTGTCCATCTTGAGTGTTCTTAAAACGGGATAAAATTTTTAAGCTAACCTTTCTCTACAATCGGATCATTCATGATAATATGTCATTAGTTGGCCCAGTATCGATCAGATAATTCTTCTTGTTGTATTCGTAAGCAATTGATTACAGAGAAGTAAATGCTTTACCAACAGAAATTGATGAATAAAAGTCTGATAGCTTTATTAATTTTGAGATCATATCAAAAATAGTAGATCTCTAAGAGCACATAGAAGACTGTATTATGAATTTTAATCATTAATAAGCTATGCGAGAAAATAGCTATAAATGAATGAGTGTAGGCCGCTTCATGAAATACACTTAAAAAAAGTTTTCTGTTGGTTCAAATTTTTGTATTTTACGATCCACATACGATCATCAATCGCTAAAACGACGTAAGTGGTATAGCTCTTACGCCAAAAAAATACATTGCTTTTATTTTTATAATATAAGTTTACGGTAGCTAGCATTTCACGAAGAATGTAAAAAATAGCCTACAAATACAAGTTTTTTTGGTAATGGAGATTTAGTCTTCAGGTCATCATTGAAATCAATTCAGAGGACATTTACCTTAGGCATAATGGCTATAGGTGCGGTATCCAGGTGAAACGTAATTTCAACTTGCAATATTGAAACAAGTACTGACATCAAGTAATAATACGAGAAATATAATGTTGATAAAATCTAAAATTTGAATGATGTACAAAATTATGACATTATACCAATAATATCATGTTGTCATTTAAGTGGTATAATCTGTCATTATAAGTTACTTTAGTAATCTTATCATGATCGGCATTTAAATTATTCATACATATATGTACGAATGCACGGTACCATCAATTTCAAGTAAACTGATGTGCGTACAAAGCGATTTATAGATAAACGTTTATATCTGTATGAGTGTTACATTGAGCTTATTCATTATCTAATTTACCATTGGATGCCAACAATGGCATTGTCGATATTTCAACTATCACGTTTCAATACCACATCCTTCGTGATATACAAAGCTAAATCACTAATCGACTTCTACATTGTGATTTATATTTAATTAATTAATTAACAAAGCTAACATATGAGATTATTTTATAATTAAAATGTACTAGCATTTCAGCTGGGTTTCAAAATTGTAACGTAGATGAAATTATAATGGCTTCAAGCTGTTATATTCATAATCTGACAACAAATTTGGCCCTTTATTAGAAGTATTCACGTTTTTTCTAGTCGTACACGTGGCATATGAAATAATCATCCCCAAAAGGAAGCCTCCAATTGCAATAACTATGGCCGTGGCAAAAGGAAAATGTTCTAAAGTTTTAAAGGATAAATAAACAATAAATATCGTAGAACTAGAAGAATCAATCATATGCTATTTTATTAACATAATGTGTTACCTTTTGTGACTGTTGCTTTTTTATTGCAAAGTTCTGAAAAATTACCAGGTGGAGCAGCAACGGCGCTAGTTAGCCTAGAATAGATTTTGCAATTGACTAATGTAAGAAATAAACGTTTGGTAAATATCAAAAATAGTCACTTTAATTGAAAAACCAACTTTATAAATTTATCCAGAGGACAATAAGTACTACATCCAGGAATGGTTAAAACATACGGTGAATTTGTAGAATTACGATACAATATTTGCACAAAGTAATCCCTATAAAGGTAAATAGCCAAGTTAGTCAATGAAAATTGGAGAAAATTATTTGCATTTTCATCTCCGCTTGTTGTCATTACTAAAGCGTACGCACTTTTTATTGTCAACGTATAGTTCTATCAGTACAGCCGCACTATAAGGTGGTTGCAATCCATTTGCGATAGAAAGTGCACAAAGTAGCGCCATTACAGTAGTATCATGCTAAAATAGAAAGATTGATAGAATGACTTATTAAATAACTATTAGATTCTTTAGCAGTTTGCGGCAGCATTTAACTGCGCTATTTCTGATTATTTAAAACACTAAATATTGTTTCAAGTTTACACTTACTGATGAATACATCATCATTTTGATAGGTCTGTCCTTTTTTCCTGCTCTTACTAATTTCATATCGTTTATTATACGATAAACTAACACTCCAGCAGCTATCTGTTGAGCTGGCTTTCCATGAAACAGAGCCATCATACCAAAATTAGAAATATGGTGCAATGTTTCTATAGTTTCGTTTGTAGCCCATTTTGGTAAGGTGAGATCATGTTGTTGCTGATAAATAAGGTAATGCAATGATTGAAGATCGGCTTTAGCCACAAATCAAAGAATAGCAATCTAATATCACCTTACCTCGCAAAATAGCGAATCATATAGCTTCCATGAATTGCTTAAGTTTAATGGTTTCTTGTAGCCAGCAAGCTTGCTGACATTTTTAAGAAAGTCCTATGATTATCATGTCACCGAAAAGATAAATTACTTATCGATACAAAGCATGAATACTTCAAAGCGAAAGAAATAGACAGTTATGGATAGCAAGTAAAAAATTGCAATATACAATAGAATTATTGAATAGGATGAGTAGGAAGGAACTATTCGAATTTACTACGTGAATACCTCGTATTTATTCGAAAAGTTTTTATACTCTGCAGACATCCGATACTGTTTTTTTAGGTCCATATACCTTTTGCATGGCAAGTTATAGGCAAGTAATAACTAAATTTTCCAAATATGATACGCGTATTACCTCCCGATCGAAATACAAGTACACTGCAATATTATTACAACACAGTTCATTGAAGCTTTTTAAATGTTTTACCGTATCTTCCGCTTTAGGTACGGTATGGATTGGTACTGGCTGCCAGGCAAGATTTTTATTCCAGACCTGTGTAGAGACGCGTACGATACAAGTATGGTATTACAGTAGCTCATTAGATGCTTTTTCAACAATAGTAAGATGGCAATCAATAACTTTGTGATACCTGTCTACCATGAGGTGGATACAATGAACTGAGTTGGGATTCGGCACTCATTAATGTCCGATCTACATTCGTACTACGAATACTCACCTTTAAACGGAATTTTTTACAAGATTTTATGATTAAAATTACGTGTAATAGTCATTTTCATAAAATAATTGCCATTATGACACAACAGAAATATATTATACTAGTATTGTTACCCCTAACAGTTGAAATTGAAATTTTTTGTATAAATTTACCTCCTTTCGAATGTAACTTCTATTCAAAAATCGAAAATTTTCGATATAGCGAATCTTAAGAAATTTTCCTAATGCTGCCTCTTGTCGCATTCCTCTCTAATAAAAAAAGTAAATACGTGATAGAAGAGTGTCATGACACAATGTCATAACTGTTATATCTAATATAATTAAAATGATGGTATTGTATTTCATATTTTATCTACAGCTGATAGCATTTACGCATTACAAATAATATATACAGTAAAGTAATTAGTATTGATTCGATTTCAACATTAAAGTAAGACTAGAGAAGTGCAGCATAGGAATCGATAACTTGAATAGTCTTTTGAGCTAAATATGTACTAAAGTATGTAAGACAACAGATGTAGTTGCTGTTGCAATAATAAATACAATTAGTGACTGTAAATTATTATTATCCCGTTAATTATCAAAAAAAGATACAGAAGTAAAAAAATGAACAAGATACAGTAATATAAATTTACAAAGTAACGTATCTATGAACCTGGGTCAGTTGTCCGGTTCCTTGAGGCCAAACTTTAGCCCTATTAGGAGAGTTTGGATATATTACCATAGGTGCTCTATCGCCATGACGGTAAACCTAGTTAAAAACAGATAAATAGCAATTTAATTTGAAGACAGGAAATTAAGCATAAAAGTAATTATTTCAAATAGAATGAAAATAATAAACCACATTATTCATTTGAACCAAAAAACAATACTCTTCGTGAAATAGATATGTATCATAGATTACGTTAAAAGTTAGATGCTATAAGTTGCATAATAATAATTCACTTATTAGCTAGTATATAAATTTACTATAATTCTAATAACTTGAGTTTGTAATAGTCATGGGTCGGAATAAAGCTTAAATCACAATTCATTTATCTCTATTGAACGATATTTATTCAATATAGATATGTACGTATAAGTAAGCTAATCTTTGTAAATAATAACATTTAATAATCTTCATAATACAAATATGCAGAATACTATCTTAACTATTCTTTCAAGTCCACACGTGCACATATGAGTATAATTGGAGAAACTTTACACTTTTAAGATTATCCAATTATACTATACGGTTTCAATTATCAGTATAATTAATGGTATTTACTGATGATATGCAATTTCGTGTATAAGGGTCATTGTAAGGCTTGAAATGTTGTCCTTTTACAACAATTAATTATGATTGAGTGTAATTACAAGTATTGTTGAGCATAGGTGGCATTAGAGTACCATATTTGCTCAACATGGACATAGTAATACGAGCCATGGTTAATCATAATTTACAGTTCATTTCATACTTGATCAGAGAGGGATAAAGTATAGATAAATCAGGGGTACAATTGCAAAGTAAATTGATAGACTTGATCTCCATACATGTTCTGCAACAGCGCTGTTGAGTATACCGCATATTGAACTGAAATATCTCATTAGCGATGAGAATTTTATGGGCAAAATTACGTTACAGAGTGATTTCCAAGATCGACCGAGGTCGAAAGTACAACTGTAGATGCGATTCCATCGTCAAAGTTGATACAGTATATAACATGTGTAAGGCTCAATAGAAATTCATAACTACACAGTATACTACCATGGACTTTATAAATACGGTAAATCTAGAAGTCCATGATACTACACGAGTAAAATACAACTGCATCAATCGATATCCAACGCCATTATCATGTTAGTGGAAGTTTACGTACGTTTATCCTATGACAAACAACAAATCATAGGCGTACAAGGCATGATGATAATTACTGTTGACATGGCGACACATGGCTCTTACCGTACTAACAAAAACGAGCTTCTTGTTACGCTTTGGACGGGCGCTTGAAGTTAATGCTATAAACGACACGAATAAACAAGATAGAATGGCACAGTTCAACTTCACAGACATCTTCTAGCCAGGTTTCTCGTCCAATTTTTATCCTTTTTTTCCACAGTCAAGATCTGCTTTTTACGACAGATGATACGAATATAAGAGTATATAGCAGCTGGTTTAAGCTTAAAGTGGTACTCATACGTATGCTAGTAATGTTGTAGTATTGATTAAAATTAGGATTGAAACTCCAACAAGAGGCTCAGTGATAAAATAAAATCCGATATTGTTGATTGAAATCACTGATTCGATACTAAAAATCAAACTACTGCCAATTGACCACATTCTGATGAGATTTGTAAACAGAGCGGTAAAGCAGACAAGAAAGTACAATGGACTATTGCCTATCAAATCCAGTTGTAAAGCTATTGCCTTGTAGTTTGTCATTTTTATTCTTTTTGACTAAAGATATTGGAAAAGTGGCGCAAAATTGGTGTTCACGTCCGCCAATACGACGTGCAAGCCATTGACTATGCAACGTTACATGATTGCCATTGGCAGATACAAAACCTCTTACTATGCTTCTAAGTCAAGTTTTAAATGGATACAATGAACAAATAGCATTCTATCTACCTTCTATAGATACTCAATGTTGTTCATCTAAAATATTGTAGCCAATTTTCACAGAAAGAAACTCGTTTCTATCAATTTTTGACGTGGAAAAATGGCTGCTGGCCGATATCCTCGATTCGTAATGAGCAAGCAACCAGTACGTCACGTTACGGTTCGGTCCAGTCCAGTACTTCAATGACTGTAGTGCGTGGTGAATGACTTCACCTTATGGCAGTCACCTCACTGTCCCATGACTTGACCCGCTTCACTCAACTAGTCACACATAGGGGTTGATTGAAGTGACTCGGCGAGTCATCCCATACTGTATGATGTCAACAGGGCTGATTTGTGACGCTCGTTATCCGCCGTGGCAACTAGTGACAAACCGGGTGGGTAATCCGAACCGAACCGGGCCATCTCAGTACAGTCATGATACTATAATGTAATGTATAAGTATACGATATGTTACGGGTAAATACAGTACGCCTAGATGTACATATGTTAACCTATATATACAATATATATACAAGTATATACTGTACGAGTATACACATTACTTTATATGGCATATAGGGGGATTTAGGCTATCGCTTGTACGAATTAATCCTATTCCTGCAACATTCGAACCAGCAGCATATCCGTGTATTACTAATGAATTAATTCATTAATTAACTCTGTCCAGGTGAAAATAGTATTTAATCGCTTAGTCAGTCACAATCGAATAGGATCGTAGATTAGTGTGAATAAAGGAAATCTCTCTATAAGTATATTAGTCCTACTCTGTAACCCACAACTGAAATAAGCAGCAAGTACAAACTAGTTCTGCTCTGGAGGACTGAATTGATTGATTGATTTTATACTTACTGCACAGCGCGCTAAGATATTTAGCTTATAAATAGCTTATGTAATTATGTTTGGACCATTGATTTAAGTTTGAAAAGTAACGCAGTACTGTACTGTACAGTACAAACTTTACTACAGAAGACGAAATAGAATTTAGCCAGTTATTAGTTATTAATCTAGAAAGTGTTGAACCATAAGAAATACCCAATCGAATCAACCTGCCAATATAGCATCGATATCAAAATACCGCCTTAACAATCAAATAATCCTGGTGCAATGGAACATATCAGTAATAGCGATCAAACAGACGTGGGCGAATCATCAGAAAGTCATCATCAGATTTTAATTTCTAACATTATCAGCAAGATAGGTAAGAGACAACTATTGTACAGTTAACAATTCATATCTTCTAGAATTTCAATTCGTTACACATATATGTAGATTTTAATGAATATTAGCATTGGCAATCATATGTGCGTATGCGTATAATTATCTTCACTATTTCCTTACATTACAGTATGCTGGGAAATGATGCTAAATAAATGTCTATGTAATGCTAAAAAATCTCTTATTCACTGTACTTTACATTTACTTCATGAGTGTTTATGATTGATAATATTTGTATTATCGTATAAGAATTGTTATTATTGCTAATATTTTCAATTTGATTGTGAATTCTACACAAATTAGACATTTACATAACTCCAATCTATCTGCATAACGTACTTTTAAGGCTGAACAATAATATCATAATATACAGTATAGTATTGAAATTCAAACACGCCATCCATGTAAAGTGTGCAAGATAATGGTTTGAAAATCGTAACACAGTAGTTTAGTAGCACCAAAGAAAATTGAAGTAAACTCCATAAACTACAAACATTCAACTCTATGCAAAATTACATAGCAGCGGAACTATCCAATGATATTTACTATTGATATGGAATAAATACAAATAACGATCATTAGAATGTACGTAGATGAAATTGAATGTTTCGTTGTTCTAAAATCTTAAATTGTCTCCTGAAAATAAGAAAGTCTACCCAAAGTCGTCAATGTCGATCATGTAGATTATCCACCAGTCGATCAAAATGATATTCAAGCCTGGGAACGGGTGAACATAAGTATATGCAAATAATTTTGTAAATCTATTAAATTTACTGTAATAAATTTATTAGGCATAATAACTGTATTAATTTAAGAAAAGCTAGCTGAGTAAAGTGTTAATATTGCTAATTTAACATGAAATAATATTCAATTTCTACAAATTAATATCAAGTCTAGAGCAATAATGATCTACTTATCAAAATTAGATGAAAATAATATTTTACAATATTTTAACCTTACAATCATACACTAGTATTGAGTTGTACCGAAGAAAACTGATCAAAACATATTAGTAGTTTATTAATTAATGAACAATTTACAAGATTTCATGTTAAACTTATTAATATATAACTTTATATCACAGAAACATACTTGTAGCATGCCGGACGATCTGAAAGCATTTTATATGCTTTCTAATGGTTTTCTACTGACGTGGTCAGTCCTCTTTGATGGTAAATTTAGTAATTTTATTACAATCGTACAAATAATTATGCGCTTATATATTTTGCTTAACCATACTCCATTCTAAGTCTCAGTACTACTAACAGCTTAACCGTAAATGAAATTTGATTAGATTTCATTACGTCCCTGCATAAAAACTATTATTACTTATCAAAGGTCAAAAACAGTCTCTTGGAAGAATGGTGGTCAATTCCTTAAAGAGCTTGAAACGAATAAATGATAATAAGAACATTAATGGATCAATTGCACTTGACGATATCGTTTGTTCTGACAATGATGAATGTGGTAATAGGAAACCACAATTCGATCCATCTCAGAGTTGGATATTTGAACTAGACGATTGTGATGGTTACGGAAAAGTATGTTTGGTCTACAAGTTACAATCAGGTATTATAAATACATCTTCTGTTTAAGCCGTTATTGTACGCGTTTTGGATAAGTTAGCATCTGTATCTGATACGTTTATTTAATTATATTTTATATTTGGCTACCTTAGATTCTATCAATCAAATATCGCCAGAAGTATGGTTCCTTGATAGAGCTCTAGGCTGGCACTATTTAACTGATTCGTTTACAAAATATTTTCGTCTGATGATTATGCATCTTGGCCTACCGCAATGGCAGTACGCATTAACAAATATTGGTCTAAGCCCTATTGCAAAGGTAATATCTGTAGCTACAACTTTCTAGACGTATTTTATTGATTTCAATTTAGCTATCATCATTCATTTTTAAAATGATTTCTCCATTGATGTAGAAATATTGCCGTACTAGGTAACTAATCTTAGCAATCTGATCGTCTTTTATAGCAATGGTTCCACATGTATGCTCCTGTTAGGTTAGCATTGGATACTGAGAAAATTGATGTAAATCCATCAATTATGCAAAAAGACGAAACAACGCTTAATAAACTCGATTCCAAAAAGTTATTGGAACCAAAGAAGATAAGCCGAAAAAAATA